TAATTAACAGCTATAAACAAGTTAGATATTATTAACTTAACAGAAATTGTTATCAGATTATTATTATATTTTAAACAGATTTAGCAAAAATATAGGTTTCTGTAAAGTTTGCTTGATTTCTATTGACGGCAGCCCATTTGATTTGAATGTATGATCCGAATTTAACTCCTCAAATCGCCGAAAATTTGTTCACAGAAGCTATACATCATGTGATCAAAAATTACAATTACATGAAAATCCAATTTACTGAATCTTACACAAAAATTACATAAATTACGATAATTTCACAACCCTATCTCCTAAACCTAATGAATTTTAAGAATTTTTTTGCCCACCAACCTTGTACACATTTTCGGTATGCATATTTATCCGGCAGCACTATGATCGTAACTCAAGTTATTTGATAATGATTGTGTCGTACCTGAAATTAGAACTTCAGGTACCGACGCCCCCTAGCTCTCCCACAAAAAATCAGTCACCCCTGTAATATTGGCCAATCGAATTTCAGGATCAGGTGTAATGTAAAATCGAAACGAAACAAAAAAAACAAGAGTAACTCAAATGATAATTAGGAAACCATCTTCTGTGGCCTAATTAAAAATGTTCCTCGTGATGTTTTACTAATGAGTGTTACATTTTTCTAATCCCAACTATACCATGCCGACGAAATTATTTTGGGGTCTAAAACCTGAAATTAAAATTTGAAGACGAAATTGTTTTTGATCTATTTTACTTAAAAGACGAAATTTTTTAACATTTTTTTTAAAGAGACGAAATTATAAGGAACATAACTATCTAAATTAGATTTGCTCTTGCATATAAAAAATTCTAATTTGCTCTAATGGAGACGAAACAGGATTTTTTGAAAACCTATTTCGGTGGCATGTATAATCCCAACACGGCTTTCTTGGTTTCATTTTACGCGCAACTTTTTTACTTGGAAAACAAAACACGTTCGTTTTGACACCTGATCTTAAATTTTGATTGGTCAAAATTACTACCTAAAATTCAGGAACCTGAAGTTGATACCTGCCTAAAACAGCTAGCTAATGTGTGCAGGATGATCTAATTTCGGATGCTAATTTCAGTCAGGTGCAACTTCAGGCAACTGAAGTTCCAACTTTAAGTCGGATGCCAACTTCAGGCACGACAATTATTATCAAGTAACTTCGTTATTTGATAATGACACAAAATATCTCGAGTCATTCTGTTGGTTCGTCGTAACTACTTGGATAATACCGTTATTGAATGCTCCGCAGCCAACACGTATTTAATATGCCATTCCTGGGCCCCGAAGGGCCCAGAAATGGCATATTAAATTTCACAGCCAGATAATGAAGGGCTAATATGTAATACAGGTGGACTTACAAGAGCTTGTCTGCAGGCACTAATGATTGACCACCTATATTGCATATTAACCTTATGGAGTATATATTTTTCAAATAACTCTATAGTATTGACTAGGGTTCTGCAAGTGCCGGGTATGGTGCCGTTAATAGTGCTCACCATGCTTGACACTTGCAGAACTCTATTATTGACTAAAAATAAGTTTCAAATTAAAATTATAAATATAACGATAAATACGGTTTTTTTTATAAAATATTAAAAAAAAAAAAAAAAATTAAACAATATAATTTTTTTTATAAAGCTCACCTCATTCAGTGTTGAAATTTGTCTGTTGTACTATTACAGTACAGCAGTACTAGATTGAGTTTATGTTACACTCGACTTGAAATTAGATTGGATATCTTCACGTGGTCATATAATTTGATATGCAATACTGCAATAAAAAAAATTTTTTACCGTTACCGTATCAATCATTTACCATTACAAATTTTCAACTTTGAACATAACTGAGTACACCAATGCCTCGTCATCAAACCCAACACTCCAAAAACAAACCTAACAAACCTGCAAGTACTAATAATACTTTTCCGTATTCAAAAGCAAAACCAAACAAAAAATCAAATTTATTAATAAATAGACAAAAGAAGCCAACAGCAAAAAACAAAAATTTGCTCAAATATAAGAATGAAACATTACTTAAAGAACTTGACAGTTTAGTTGAAGATATTATACTACCTTTCCAAGATAGTAAAACTTCAACAAAAGACAATTCTAATAAAAATACATATGATGAGATTGAGAATTCGGAAGACCAAATGCAAGAATGTCTTGATAATTCAAAAGAAATACTGGTTAAAGATTTTGAAAATGCTGTACATCAATTATCGAAATTTAATGTGAAGGAATGAGATGGGTAATATTTCAATAAGCTGATTTATATGCATAATCAAAAAATTTATTTTATTGTATGTGGGATAACGATAATGTGATCTTTAAAAATATTTTAGATGCAATACGGTTTTGTATAACTAATAAAATCAATAAATAATTTCTTTGTCAATAATGATAATTTATATTTTATTAGTTTTAAAATATTTACAAAAAATTCAACTTAAAAATTGATTTATCATAATAGAGCACATTATAGAGTACACTATTATGTCTAAGAGCCTATATAAAAACTAAACATCGACTTTATATTTATCTCACAATCACTTTAAAGCAAAAAATTTTTTTAATTCCTAAACAAAAGCAAATAAGCAAAAAAACTAAAGGCAATCCAAGAGGCAAAAGCTATTCTTCCATATTCTTCATATTCTGGAAAATTTCTCCACCAGATTCTCACAAATCCTGAAGAACCAGAAACACCTGGTGTCACAGTTTCTCTTGGCGGTAAATTATTTGTCGGTGATGCAGGCCTGCTCAAAGCATGATATTTGGTATTAACACGCATTTGAGATAACAGAGTTGACTGAACGTCGGAAACCTTTTCAGTTTGCATTATGTGTGGTGTTGATAATTTAGTACTTGTGGTTGATTCGTATGATGTGGGCATTGGCGATGACATTATATAAGAACTTGTGGTTGATTCGTATGATGTGGGCATTGGCGATGACATTATATAAGAACTTGTGGTTGATTCGTATGATGTGG